GTCCACATAATTTCTGCTTTTTCATCAAATACAGGTTAGGTATGAATCCACCTTTCTCCCCCAGTTATACGTTAATTAGTAAGACTTGTATTACTAAATCATTATTATCTCAAAAAATTCTGACTTTAAATAACCTGCAAAGGGTTGATAAGCCGTAAAAACGAATCAATCAAGCAAGCAAGCAAGATTAAACGAGAACATAAGCTCTATTACCTCTCTAAAATTTCTGTAGAAACAAATTTTTCAGTAAGCTATCTCTTTTTTTTGAAGGTCCTTTCGTTATTCGGAGCTCATTTTAATCCATATACTCTTGACATAGCTACATAGATCTAAACTTGAGAGAAACATTTGAATATTTTTTCTAATATCTGTATTAATAATAACTAGAAAAACCCATGAAAAAATCTTGTATCTATCCTATAATACTTGTTGTGTTTTCATATATATTTCCTACATTAAATGTAGCAACCATTATGGGACAAATCTAACCCATAATAATTCTTACTAGTTTTAACTTGTGAAAATTTCAAGGTTTCCTATTTGAAATTTCTGATGAATCTTAATTCTCCAGTCAATGACTAAGATCATGGCGAGTTCTAAGACAATAAAATATCCATAGAAATTCTTCTATCGCATTGTTAAATATTTGAGTATAATAACTTTTAACTTTTTTAACAAAATATAAATAATGCCAGTCGTTCATAAAATTTTTCTTTGAATTTTCTTTTCGTTTTTTTATTCCCACCTTTCTTAATTTTTTTTATCTTTTCTTTTTCTTTCTTTCTTTCTTTTTTCCTTTCTTTCTTTTTTTCTTTTTTTCCTTTTTTTTTTCCTTTCTTTCTTTTTTCCTTTCTTTATTTTTTCCTTTCTTTCTTTTTTCTTTCTTTCTTTTTTCCTTTCCAAATTATTTTCCTTTTTTCTTTTTCCTTTCTTTTTTTTTCCTTTCTTTCTTTTTCCTTTCTTTCTTTTCCAAATTTAATTTTTTCCTTTTTTTTTTCTTCTTTTTTTCCTTTCTTTTTTTTTTTTTTTTTTTTTCTTTCTTTTTTTTTCTTTTTTTTTTTTTTTTTCTTTTTTTTTCCTTTTTTTTTTTTTTTCTTTTTTTTTTTTTTTCTTTTTTTTCTTTTTTTTTTTTTTTTTTTTCTTTTCTTCAGTGAAACCAAGTAGCGTCTCTGTTATTTCCGTATTTTCACACTGTTAAAATAGACTAGTACATTATTTATTAAATATTGGTAGGCCCTAATGTGCCCAGTACGTATCAAAAACATTAAGCCCAAGCCTTAGGATCCTACCCCGAAGGCAGTACCGCTCCTTCGGGAGGGGGCTGTGTTTATTGCCCGGCGCCTGAGGAGTCCCCCAAAGGTGAAGTGCCGAGGGGGTGCTTATGCAATTGTTCAACGGTATTGCCGTTAAACCCGTTTTAAAATTCGACCTTGTGTCACATTCTGTAGCGATGTCGACGCGTTGAAAAATACCTAAATTAAACAATATTTAAACACAATGGCCGCTTTTGTTCTGCTCATGTAAAGTCAGGGACGCATAGACAAAAATTAGCCTTATGCAAATTTATACCGTATTTCCCTGTATATAATACGACTTGAGCATAATACAACTCACTAGTGTTTCTGAAGCTAAAAAAGGGGAATAAATTAAATCCCTATGTAAATACTTTTTTGAAAAGTTGTACCATATTATCCATTAAAAATCTCAATGACATATATTTCACTAAAATATTTAATTATTCCCGAAATTAAAGAACAGAAATGGACCGGATGTGCAGCCATTGCGAGTTACTTCTAATTTCCGTTCCAAACTTATTTTCAAATTTCAAAGGTGCTAACTACACATACCTGTTAATACATTTACAGGTGTTAATTAATCTATCGTGTTTTTCTGTTTGATATGACTTTATTATATTTCTATATCTTAATAAACTATGAAAATAAAAAAAATTGTCTTTCGTTAAGTATGAAGAGAGAAAAACTTATAAAAAAATAAATAAACAAACGTTTATATAGAAATAAAGTGTCACTGCCGACACTTGAGTTTGAACATAGATCGCCAGTAAGCAAACACAGGTGATCCCATTATTGAATTAAGTGGATCACGTGACCATAGAGGAAGCGCATATGTAGAAAGTCAGGTAACGACTAACGATCGTTATTTCTATCCTCCATTACTATTCGGATTGCTATTTCTAGTCTATCCTCTATTACTATACAGACCGCTATTCTCTACTCTATTCACTATACTATTCCTCTATTCGGATCATTATACGGATTACTATTCGAGCGAGTATTATCCAGCAAGTACTATTAGTGCGAGTGATATTTGAAAGTGTCTGACACTAGTATTGTTCAACGGCGTAATATAGTTGCATCTGCGATTACAAAGTCTCTACTACAACAAGTATTTCGAAAGTGACAACGAGTATTCGTTGACATCACAAAAGTGGCAACGAGTATTCGCTGACATCACAAAACAAACTTTATATTGTGAGCAAAACTGAGTCTTGCAATCTTGATCTTTCAAATAAGCGGTTTTATAAGTTGAATAAAATTTTCTGAAAACTTGTACTTGCGTATCATACGACCCCTTCGGGCTGCGATCAAAATGTTTCTGTCTTCTAAAAGACAAACTACATTTTATCTCTCAATTGTGCTTTTATCTTCGGACAGGACACACCAAATAAATAAGAGACGCCTGGTCTCAGGGATTTCAACCCTCCGGCAGCACCTCCCTCATTGCACCATAGACCGAGGGTCGGCGGAATATCGACGTCAGCGCGCCGTTGGTTGTGAGTAGAGTAATTTTTTGCATCAGGCCCATGTGCACGCGATTGGGATCCCCATTGTAAACAGGCCTTGTGCCATATCACGTCACCGTGGTGGGTACAAGTAGCAATAACAAGATTGCCTCGATAGATCATTTACGACTGAATAGTGAGTTCGATTCTCACTGGGTTTTCTCGACTTTCGGCCTTGTGCCACATTTAAGCTATGCTTAGTAAATCCCATATCGACGACAAGAGGGACAGATAGGGACGAGTTTGTGAGAATTAATAACGGAATAGGGAGCTTTTGGCAAAAGGACAAATGTTGCTAAATGATTGAAGGTTGTGGTGAGCTATGATCGCTCACGTCCTGAAAGTACACGGCACAAGAAAAAAAAATAAAAGGTTGATAACAATACAGGATTTTGTTTCTGCTATAAGGTGGACAATCTCCTCACAGGGACTTGAAGCAACAGAAATGTGTTTCTTCAGAAGGAAGCTGAGAAAACCCTGGGCCGAATCATGTGAGCATTTTAGAGAAAATGGAAACAAAAAGGACACTTATACTTGTCAGAAAGAGACGGTTGAACTTTCTAAGGCACATAATGAGAAAAGAGGGCTTCGAAAATTTGACACTCACAGGACAGATTAAAGGCAAGATAGACAGAGGAAAAGAACATATAAACTACGTGACGGGCTTGTGTAAATGTATAGCAGAACAGAAATTAGGGAAGATAACAAAAAACAAAATTTAATAACAGCGAGAAAGGACAGTAAATTGTGGAGAGCCATGATCACCAACGTCATGAAGTGACACGGTATATAGAAGAAATTAATGTGGAAACAGAGAAAATTTAGCCTTATGCAAATTTATAAAAGAAAACTTGCATAGAATTCAGCTTTCCCTGCTAGACGCCCAATTTGCTGTTGTATAAATATCTACACACATACAATCACAAGTTTAATCGTTAGGTGACATAGAAAAACTAATGAAAATTACTCCATACGTATATACGGAACTGGAAAACTGGAGGGTGTGTTGCGTGTGGCTAACCTTTTTGCAGTTTTTTTTTTTGCAATTTGATTTATTTCCTTTTCTTTCCCCTTTTTTTTTTTATTTTTTTTTAAGTTCGTTTCGTTGCTTGTCGCCCAATTAAACACAGTGAATCTCATTTGCTTCGCAAGTAAATATAATTGATCGTCAGCAGGTCCGGGAGCCAGTCCATTTGTTCCCGTCGACAATGAGAGCACTTGGACTGCTGACAAGATTAATATGTTTACCCATCCTTCCTTTCCATCGAACTGCATCCAACAACAACAACGACTCTGCATTCTATATTACACCCGCGCACATTCACTCACACACACACACACACACACACACACACACTTACTCACTCACTCACTCACTCACTCACTCACTCACTCACTCACTCAAGCACACAAGCACACATACACAGACTGAGATTTGAGGACGCCCAGAAAACAAGCGGACACACAACTTTCTCACCACCCACCCACTCGGCCTATTCAAGAACGACACACCGGGAAGCCGTGATGAAGAAAACTAACATAAGGGAACAATCAAAGCAAAATTATGCATACATGCATCGACGCAGCCTCCACAACTTTCCGTCATGTTCCGTACGTTTGCGCATGTGTGCGTCGAGTTTTCAGCATATTACGCATGCGCGTGTGTATTGAGTTTCCGACGTATGGGAATCGAGCACCGGCAGGTGTATTGAATTTCCAGCATACGTCGCATTAATTGATAAAGAGTTTTTTGTATGAATATAAATATGTATCCGCAGACACATACATGGGTATTTTTTTTTTTTTAGCTTTCTTGTTTTTTTTGTTTTTTTAATTCATTTCTTTTCTTTTAAATTTTATTTTATTTAATGTCGACCGTTCTTTGCGATCTGTGTACTGGCGGACATGGCGGCTGTGTCAGTATAAATGCATTTGTTGATCCTGAGTGTCGTTAGATATCAACCAGTAGACCGCACACTTATTTGTATATCTCTTAACGACATTGCTTTACCATTATTATTCGTTTTTTTTCTTTTTTTTTTCGTGCAATGCGATATAAGAAAAACCTTAGGCACGTTGAGGAGACCACTAGAGCGAATTTATCAATGACTTGAGAAAAAAAAATGACGTATTTGCTACGGTTTTTTCCCCCGATATCGCTGTCTATTTGATAATAAAGACATAATTCTATCATATATTAAATATCGGCTGTACAAGCATTTGCTAGAAAGATAGGAAAGACAAAAGAAATCAAGAAAAGTAAAAAATAAAAATAAAATCGAAGAGCTTGTGGGCCAAGGAAGTAAGAAAAAGCGGGAACAGAATGAGTAAAAAAATTGAAGAAAGCATAGAAAGGAGGAAAGCAAGAATTTATTTCAGGATGCGGGAAGGCAAAGGTAGTGAAGAAAAAAAAGGAGAGATAAATGAAGAACAAGAAGAATGAGAGGGGAAGAAGAGTAGGAAAGAAAAAGACGCAAATGAAGAGAGGGGAGGAAGAAAAGACGCAAATGGAGAGAAAAGAAGAAGAAAAATAGACGCAAAGGAAGAAAGAGAGAGAATGAAAAAGAGGAAAATGGAGAGAGAAGAAGGAGAAGAAAAAGAGACGCAAAGGAAGAAAGAGAGGGAATGAAAAAGAGGAAAATGGAGAGAGAAGGAGAAGAAAAAGAGACGCAAAGGAAGAAAGAGGGAATGAAAAAGAGGAAAATGGAGAGAGAAGAAGGAGAAGAAAAAGAGACGCAAAGGAAGAAGGAGAGGGAATGAAAAAGAGGAAAATGGAGAGAGATGAAGGAGAAGAAAAAGAGACGCAAAGGAAGAAAGAGAGGGAATGAAAAGAGGAAAATGGAGAGAGGAGAAGAAAAAGAGACGCAAAGGAAGAAAGAGGGAATGAAAAAAGAGGAAAATGGAGAGAAGGAGAAGAAAAAGAGACGCAAAGGAAGAAGGAGAGGGAATGAAAAAGAGGAAAATGGAGAGAGATGAAGGAGAAGAAAAAAAGACGCAAAGGAAGAAAGAGAGGGAATGAAAAAGAGGAAAATGGAGAATAGACGTAAATAAAGAAAGAGGAAGAGGAGACGCAAATGAAGAAAGAGGGAAAGAAGGAGAGGAGACGCAAATGAAGAAGAATAAGAAGAGAGGGAAAGAAGAAGGGACGCAAATGAAGAAGAAAGAGAGAAAGAAGAAGGGACGCAAATGAAGAAGAAAGAGGGAAAGAAGAAGGGACGCAAATGAAGAAGAGAGAAAGAAGAAGTGACGAAAATAAAGAAGAGGGAAAGAAGTGACGAAAATCAAGAAGAGGGAAAGAAGAAACGAACATGAAGACGACGACGAAAGAGTGGAAGAAGAGATGGCATTGAGGAAGAAGAAAGAGAGGGGGATGAGAAGAGACGCAAATGAAGAAGAGAGAGGAAGAAGAGAAGAAGACGCAAATGTGAGATAGAAAGGTGTAAAGAACGAAAAGATAGTCGATAAAAGTCAGGTCGAATGATGGAGTAATATTAAAAATAAATTCGCGGGGGAACTGCAATAAGGAAAGCTACCAAGGATGAAAAAAGAGACAAATGAAAAGCGGGAAAAGAACTGCAAAGTAATAAGAGTCACAAAGAAAAACGTATCGCGAAGTAAAAAGAGAGACGAAAATAAAAAAAGAGCGCGAAGTAAAAAGAGAGACGGGGGAAAAAAGGAGCGCGAAGTAAAAAGAGAGACGGAGAAAAATGAGCGCGAAGTAAAAAGAGGGACGGAAAAAAAGGATCGCGCGAAGTAAAAAGAGAGACGGAGAAAAATGAGCGCGAAGTAAAGAGACGGAAATAAAAATGAGCGCGAAGTAAAAAGAGAGACGGAAATAAAAATGAGCGCGAAGTAAAAAGAGAGACGTAAAAAAAAAGGAGCGCGAAGTAAAAAGAGAGACGTAAATAAAAAGGAGCGCGAAGTAAAAAGAGAGACGTAAAAAAAAAAGGAGCGCGAAGTAAAAAGAGAGACGGAAAAAAAAAGGAGCGCGAAGTAAAATAAGACGGAAATAAAAAGGTGCGCGGCGTAAAAAGGGAGACGAAACAAAAAAAAGAAAGCAGAGAGACATTTATTTGGGAGGAAAAAAACTAATGAAATACAAAGATTGAGATTAAATGCAAACGATGGAGCCCACGTTTATTACAGTTGTTTCCTGAATTTTTTTTATAAAAGTTCGATGGCGGGAAAAAGAACCAATATCTTATGCCTATTTAATATTTTCTGGGAAACTTCTCAATTAAAGAATTCATTTGCTCTTCGCTTTCTTTATGCTTCGTGTTCGGTGTCAGGATAAAGATTAGGGGTAAAGGTTAAGTTAATTTTGGGGTGAATCGTCAGGGTGAGGCTGTGTTTTGGGTTAGATAGGATAAAAGGTTGGGTCAGTATTAAAGTTTGCTTCGGGATAATGTCAAGACGAACTCCCACGTTTAATTAGAATTAAGACTGACATTCGAAGGCAAGCAAATGTTTTATTTCTTTCTCAATTATCAGAGTTCATATTCTTCTTCATCTTGTGAGGTAGAGTATTGGACTGGCGATAACATATTCAAAGGCTCAAGTTCTTATAATAAAAACTAATCTCCGATCTCCATGGATACTTTATCTAAGTCCATCATCATTATGCCGCGTGCCTTCAATACATAGGCGATCATGGCTCTCCACAACTCTCTGTCTCCTGCGGCTCTTAGCAGTATTTCTCCCTTTGTTAAACCCCCACCCCCATTAGCACAAGCTCGTCAGGTAAGCGCCTTGCTGTTTTCCCCATCTCTCTTGCTCTCAATATGCCCCGTGAGAGTTAATTTTCCAAGCCTCCTTTCCTCATTGTGTCCAAGGAATTTCATCTATTTTTTTTTTTTTTTGCAATTTTTTTCATTTTCTATGGTTTATCAACCTTTTGCTGATTATTCAAAGATAGAAAATATTTTTAGACTTTTTTTGAGATAATAATGATTCAGTCCTATAAGTCTTACTAATTAACCCGTAGCTGGAGAGAGATGTGGATTCATACCCTTCCCAGGGGTATTTGCCCCGCGTAAGTGAATACAGGCATCCCTCGATTAATGCGCTTTTGATTAATGCAATAATTTTTTTTATATACCAAAATTCTCTTCAGTTTTAACCATAGTAAATGAAAATTGATTTTTTTATAGTTAGCGGTGTACACATTAGCCGCACTAATCGATGGATTCCTGTAATATGAACCCAACTGAAATTGGAACTCGGCTTTCCGATTAACAATGAGTCATTGTCCATTGCACCACCCGCACATCGAAGTTTACAGAACTTGACTTTCCCAAGCGGTCACTCATCTAGGTACTGACCAAGCTTGATGTTGCTTAATTTGGGTGAGTGTACGGGAATTGGTGTTTCAACGCTATATGGCTGTAAGGCTGTCTTTTCCTGATTCGGAGCATACAGGGTGTTTCACAATTTTTGAAACAAAATGATCGTTCACAAATCAAGGACCACAAATGATAGAGTAATGGAGATTATATTTATTGAACGGTAAAAAGAATAATATTTTAGGATCTGCAGCTATTTAGTCTCAAACATGACCCCAAAATGTCACGAGGAACCCTAGAATACATGCTCCAGATTTCCACCGTTCAGTTGAAGGCACTATTGAATGCCAAATTGTTGATAACGCGTGCACATTCCTCTTGGGTGATCGCTTGAATCTTCTCGCTAATGGCTGCCTTCAATGTAGCAGGTGAGATGGATGCCCTGATCGATGTTGTCCGTGAGGAAACCCACAGAGGAAGAAAACTGGGGGGGGGGTGATGCTATCAAATGGAGCCAGACTATGTTAACATTACCAGTGTGAGGAGGATCACCCTCCTGCTGGAACCACTGTTTCTCTTCAAGGTCCTCACGCTTTTCGAGCTCTCACCATCTGAGAGGCCGCTGCTTGGTTTCAACAATTGTGAAATACCCTGTAACTGTTCTTTCTGTTGCCATTTTCTTTAAGACTTCCTTCTTGCTTACTTGCTCCGTCCATGGAATTTTTAATGTCGATCTGTAGAATCACATTTTGTCTACTTTTAATTTTTTCCTCATCCTACGGGGAATTGTCCAAAATTTGTTGTCATATAATAGTATGGATAGCAGATAGCAATTCAGCTTCTTTGCGTTGTTTCTAATGAAATTTTTACGTTTCTCAGCACCTTGCTTAGTTTTAGGAAAGCCTCTTTCGCTAATCCAATGCGTGTTCGGATCTCGGTATCACAATTTCCCGTCTTCTGTTAGAACACTTCCCAGATATATAAACTTCTACACCTTCGTAACTCGCACCTTCTGTTTTTTCTCTTGCTGATGACCATACTCTCTGTCTTTTGGAATTCGTCTTTCGCTAGTCGAATGTGTGTTCGGATCTCGGTGTCACAATTTCCCGTCCTCTGTTAAAACACTTCCCAGATATATAAACTTCTACACCTTCGTAACTCGCACCTTCTGTTTTTTCTCTTTCTGATGACCATACTCTCTGTCTTTTGGAATTCGTCTTTCGCTAGTCGAATGTGTGTTCGGATCTCGGTGTCACAATTTTCCGTCCTCTGTTAAAACACTTCCCAGATATATAAACTTCTACAGCTTCGTAACTCGCACCTTCTGTTTTTTCTCTTTCTGATGACCATACTCTCTGTCTTTTGGAATTCGTCTTTCGCTAGTCGAATGTGTGTTCGGATCTCGGTGTCACAATTTTCCGTCCTCTGTTAAAACACTTCCCAGATATATAAACTTCTACAGCTTCGTAACTCGCACCTTCTGTTTTTCTCTTTCTGATGACCATACTCTCTGTCTTTTGGAATTCGTCTTTCGCTAGTCGAATGTGTGTTCGGATCTCGGTGTCACAATTTCCCGTCCTCTGTTAAAACACTTCCCAGATATATAAACTTCTACACCTTCGTAACTCGCACCTTCTGTTTTTTCTCTTGCTGATGACCATACTCTCTGTCTTTTTGGAATTCGTCTTTCGCTAGTCGAATGTGTGTTCGGATCTCGGTGTCACAATTTCCCGTCCTCTGTTAAAACACTTCCCAGATATATAAACTTCTACACCTTCGTAACTCGCACCTTCTGTTTTTTCTCTTTCTGATGACCATACTCTCTGTCTTTTTGGAATTCGTCTTTCGCTAGTCGAATGTGTGTTCGGATCTCGGTGTCACAATTTCCCGTCTTCTGTTAAAACACTTCCCAGATATATAAACTTCTACACCTTCGTAACTCGCACCTTTCTTTTTTTCTCTTTCTGATGACCATACTCTCTGTCTTTTTGGAATTCGTCTTTCGCTAGTCGAATGTGTGTTCGGATCTCGGTGTCACAATTTCCCGTCTTCTGTTAAAACACTTCCCAGATATATAAACTTCTACACCTTCGTAACTCGCACCTTCTGTTTTTTCTCTTTCTGATGACCATACTCTCTGGGTTTTTTGGAATTCGTCTTTCGCTAGTCGAATGTGTGTTCGGATCTCGGTGTCACAATTTCCCGTCCTCTGTTAAAACACTTCCCAGATATATAAACTTCTACACCTTCGTAACTCGCACCTTCTGTTTTTTCTCTTTCTGATGACCATACTCTCTGTCTTTTTGAATTCGTCTTTCGCTAGTCGAATGTGTGTTCGGATCTCGGTGTCACAATTTCCGTCTTCTGTTAAAACACTTCCCAGATATATAAACTTCTACACCTTCGTAACTCGCACCTTCTGTTTTTTCTCTTTCTGATGACCATACTCTCTCTGTCTTTTTGGAATTCGTCTTTCGCTAGTCGAATGTGTTCGGATCTCAGTGTCACAATTTCCGTCCTCTGTTAAAACACTTCCCAGATATATAAACTTCTACAGCTTCGTAACTCGCACCTTCTGTTTTTTCTCTTTCTGATGACCATACTCTCTGTCTTTTGGAATTCGTCTTTCGCTAGTCGAATGTGTGTTCGGATCTCGGTGTCACAATTTCCCGTCCTCTGTTAAAACACTTCCCAGATATATAAACTTCTACACCTTCGTAACTCGCACCTTCTTTTTTTTCTCTTTCTGATGACCATACTCTCTGTCTTTTGGAATTCGTCTTTCGCTAGTCGAATGTGTGTTCGGATCTCGGTGTCACAATTTCCGTCCTCTGTTAAAACACTTCCCAGATATATAAACTTCTACAGCTTCGTAACTCGCACCTTCTGTTTTTCTCTTTCTGATGACCATACTCTCTGTCTTTTGGAATTCGTCTTTTCGCTAGTCGAATGTGTTCGGATCTCAGTGTCACAATTTTCCGTCCTCTGTTAAAACACTTCCCAGATATATAAACTTCTACAGCTTCGTAACTCGCACCTTCTGTTTTTTCTCTTTCTTATGACCATACTCTCTGTCTTTTGGAATTCGTCTTTCGCTAGTCGAATGTGTGTTCGGATCTCGGTGTCACAATTTCCCGTCCTCTGTTAAAACACTTCCCAGATATCTGAACTTCTACACTTGCTTGATGCCTATATCCCCAATTCGTAACTCGCACCTTCGGCTTTTTTCTCTTGCTGATGACCATACTCTCTGTCTTCTTGCAATTGAGGAGAGTCCCTTTTTCTCGCTTTCTTCTACCACCCTGTCCAGGAGTTCCTGTAATTTTTTTGTTTTTTTTCGGGTCGGCTATCAACACAGTGTCATCTTATATTACGCCCACCGATAATAAATCCTGCCTGAATATCCAGTTCCTTTAGGATAGCGTTGCTGTAAAGGTTGAATAAATCTGTGGCGATGACACGTCCTTGTCTCACACCCTTTCCTATTTTTGTATGGCTATATCAGTTTATTTTCTATCTGTATGCAAGCAATTTGCTTCCAGTATAAGTTGGGGATTATTCTAACATCTTTTCCAAATAGATCGAATTTTCCCAGCAGTTCAAATAGATCCTTGTACCATACCTTGTAAAACCTTCCAAAAAGTAGAAAAAATTTAATTTGTTTCTACACCTTGTATCAAATGTAGCACACGGTCTTTTTATTGAATCATTTTTCTAAACTGCACGTCAGGAAACGTCTTACTATTTTAATTTTTCTTGGCAGATGTTATCTGAAACATTGTTCAAA